AGCTGGCACCTCCCCCTTGCCAGAACAGAAAACAGGTGTAATAGAGAAATCTGAAACCACAGTCTGGAGCCAGAACTTTTTAAAGTTCTTGATAGAATATTTTTAATTTAAAAGCACAAATGATTGAAGGGCCCATCTTATTCTGACTTTCCACCACACTCTTTTCTCTCCAGCTGAACTATGGCCCAGAGAGGAAGGGCTGGGTCTAATGTTCTACTGTGTTCCCACTACCCAGGTTCATTGCCTAGGAGGATAATCAATTTGTTAATAAATAAATGACTCTTCTTTGTAGGATATTTATGCTACAAATGCTGAGGCAAGATGGAAAGTTAAAAGAAAGCATGTTACTCGCATTTATGTGTTCTAAGCATTTCATGCATTTTTCCTTAAAATCTAATATGCAAATTTTACAAGAAACCTTTCAGTTATGTAAATATTTTATTAAGGGAAAATACTACATCTATTCAGTTCTTATACAGATCAGCATTTCCTTCTCAGTATTAAAAAAAAACTCTGAAAACCTAGTTTTCTCCTAAGTTTGTGACAAAAACTGACCTGAATGAGGTAAAGCAGTTTACTCCAATTACTATGTCTAATTTATAACTGCAGAAATAATTTTATTATGGGGTGCTGCCCCAGATGCCATTGAGTTTTTTGTAATCTACAAAGTACATTTCATCTTTAAAAAGGAAAAAATAAGAATTCCAAAACCCCCAAGGATTTCAGATAAAGGATTATATCTTTACAGCATAAAGCATTTGAAACCTTGTGCTGTGTGCACTGTTGCCACCTGCTGGCATGAATTTAGAACTATGTAATCAAAATGGAAAGGATTTATCTTACATATGGGGTTAAGAGGAGCATACCCATGACTTAGAAAATAGTTATTTTAAATTGCCATGGAAAAAAACAAAATCCTTTGTAGATGAAATTTTTTAAAAAATTGAACCTTGTACATTCCACCCATTCTACATAACCTAGAAATTGGATCACACATGTTGATTCAACATAGTTGAATACCTTTTAGACTTACCTCTAATGCCTGGAGAGAGTATTCTAGTCCACCCTTTGGGTGCCATTTTTAACTACGCATGCACTGCACTGGGCTGAAAGCCAGTGATAAGAACCGATGCCATCAAAACAGTATATCAAATTAATCAGAAATGGCAGTTATAGGAATCTCATTTTACATACTCACAGGTGGTAGTAATCCATCAAAACCTACTCTAGACCATAATAATAATAGCCTTTTGGAGTACTTCTGAGTGTCCACAACATTCTCTGTTCTAAATTATCATGCATAATATTCTTTATCTGTTCCCTAGGTGTTCATTGTGTTTGGTTTATCTTGTTCATACTGCCCCCAAAGATGTAAGGTCTGCAACAGTAATATCTTTTTAATCTTTCACTTTTTCTTTTTCCATACCATAGAGAGCAGAAGTTCTTTGGCACAGTGGAAAAACACAGCAAATATTAAGTTTGCGATAATTTCTGTATGCTAAGTTTAATTATGCAGTTACCTGAGTTGGAATTTAAAAATTAGGTCTTACAAGCTCAGTATTAAGGCTGTTTTAGAAAAGATCCTTCCCCTCTTCAAGAAAACGTGCTTCTAAATAAATCACAAGGATTCATACATAAATCTGTAAAGTTTACTATCGACCATGCTTAATTTGAAACTCCAGAATCAGCAATTAAGGCGATACTATCATTTACAGATGAAGAAATTGAGGCCCAGACAGAATAAAGAACCTAAGTTTTTAAAAGAGTTGTAATTGTTCTTGTTACTATAACACAACAGAAAATACTCTTTAAGATTTACATCTCCTGTTGACAACACACAAAGGTCTCTGGACCTCTCTTCAGGTCTGTTAATACAGGTTAAGCATCCTCTGTCTGAAATGCATGGAACCATAAGTGTTTCAGATTTGGGATTTTAGAACATTGGCATAGACTTAAATGGTTGAGCCAAGTATGTTGGCAAAGTTTTAGATTTTAGAGCATTTCAGATTTCATATTTTTCAATAAGGGATGCTCAACTTGTATTTTATTCATGAATTAAATCTTAGCTTCTTTTGTTCTCTTTCAAAAGGCCTAAATTTACAAACTTTTACAACCTCAGTAATAAATTAGGGCACCACCTGCCTTGATTTTAGGGATGACATTTTCCTTTCTCATTCATTACAAGGTGGGGAATCATAGCCACTTATTGAGATCACTCTAAAACCTAATTTCCAAGTGAAGATGAAGAGAGTAGGGGAAAAAAAAAAAATTGGAACACCTCTACAGGAATTTCTATTCCCAACCCAGAATGATGCAGCTAACCTATTCTGGACATCAGCTTCTAAACTGGCAAGATTCTGTTAGTAGTATGATATACCCAGAAACAACACAAAAGTATTTGAAAATAGCATTTAAATTGGTCTAATCCTAAGGATACAGTAGAATGGAATAAATGAAATTCATAATATTCTCTAAAAATGAATGAGGAGCTTATGGGGGGGGGAATACAAAAGTATTATAACTTAAAGAAATTTATTCTTTAAAAATACTTTCATGTACACTTTCATGACTACTTTTTTTGAGGGGAGCAAGAAGATTTTCCTATAGTCAATATTAGCTTAAACATAACTGGCATATATATAACAATACATTTTGGAAATAACTGAAAAAATAAAAATGTAAATGTTTATAGTGATTTAAGACTGTAAGATATTTAAGATCTCAGATTAAATGGACCCACATTAGAGTAGTGCAAACCAAAACTTGAAAATTTCGGACTCCTTGATTACTATAGTCCCTAATACTATGTATGAATAAGTTATCCCCATTTGCAAATCACAACTGGTGGGGGAAAAGGAAATTCCATGAGAAAAAAAGTGATAAATTTGAATGCATTGTACAATATTCATCCTCCTATTTCAAAGTTAAGCACACTGGTAACAACTCCATTTAATAAAACATGAATTACTACTTAAAGAGAATTTTTTAACAAGGGGGGAAAAAAAGCTGAGTTTGATGCCTTAAAAAAAATAAAAAACTTTTAATATCTTATGTTACCTACTACAGAAAAAAAGTCTTTAAAAACCTGTTAATAAAGAATCAATTTGCATGGGAATCCACCTCCCTCAATATGTCTGATCACTTTTTCACTAAATGATTTTAAGTGGAAAAAAAATTCTCCTTCAAGAACAGAAAAATATAGTATTTTCAATAGACATCTCAAGACAATAAAGTTATATTTACAGGCTGTTATCAATAATCAGAAATCACCAAGAAGCAAAAATAAACTAACATTTCATTGTCCCTTTTCTCAGCAGTCAGGTATGACCACACAAACTAGGGAGATCTAGGAATCAATGAAATATGTTCTAGGTGAAATAAATTTCCCAGAACAAACAATTCTCATAAAATAGTTTTTTTTTTCTTTTCCCCCTGAGAATCAAGTTAATCTATCATTGGAATGCAATCGAGACAAAGACAAGATCTAAATCCTTTATCATGCTAAGATCAAAATTATGTAGTCATTTCCACTTAGGAAAGCTAAAATGTACAAATGAAGAAAATGTAAATAGCAAAAGACACAGTGCTTAATAGCAGTACCATGGTAGGAATTTATGGTATTTGGTAAAATATACAAGAAATGACATTTGGGAAGAAGTTTATTGCTCTTGATGGAATATAGCACCACTTTGAAGAATAAAAGATGGTTAGTATTAACCACCTTTTAATCAACAATATGCATTTATAGGAAAAGTGCTTAAAGAAGTAGTTCTGGAAAAAGATTGAGGAGTTTTTGTATTATATATTTTAAACGTTACCCATTTTTTTTCATTAGACAATTGGCAATCTATTTTAGTAAAGTAACTTATATCAGATTTTCTACTGATTATCACTCAACAAATATAAAATTGAGGGACTGAAAGTTATTCAAACTTATAAAACAAGTTAGAACATTATAAAGTAATTTTATACCAAAAACATTTTAGATAATTATTGCTTAAATATACAGTGATTATACCTGTGAAATTTTCCAACTCATGATTGGGAAAATTCCCTTAGTGTGCTAATATTTATCCTAAAAGAGAGACATATCTAAGAGATGTGTAGATACTGCCTATACACTGTGGAAAACAGTCCAATTTCCCCCTAAATAGTTTTTAAAAACTAATGTCACCATGGTGATTCAGGATTTAGAGACAAGAAATTAACCTGATTATATACATGCTATACAAAGTCAGCCAAATGATTTCTTTATGATAATTTGCAGCTAGCACTTTACTTAGTCTTTAGAAAGTAGGATTTTAAGTAAGCTTCCTTATTCTAAAATAAAAGATCTGGACAGATAAATTGCTATGCCGAAGCACAAAGGTTTTTTTTTTTTTTAATGCAATCTTCTATAAGAAGTAAATTTTAAAAAGCCAAACAATCTAACACCAAGTGTGATTTCCTCTGAAACAGACTTTATCCAGTTTTTCTTTGCTCTTCAATCATCTGCAATAATCAGAATTACTACACTGGTAATCGTCATAGTAAAAGGTAATACTATCTTATTTAAAGTAGCTTGACTTTCTATAACAACTATTTTAGGAGTGGCATTTCTAAAAATAATTTTACTTAATGTATGCATCAGTCATATTTGGAAGCAGGCACAAGAATTCTAATAAAATTGGTAAAGGTATAGAGTACTTCACAGGTAATATTGCAGCATGATCTATATCCATAACGGAAAGGGGAAGAAAAAAATTTGAATCTATTAATGAAGGGGATTTCAGATCTTAATGGTTGGCATAGAAAAAGAAAACAGAATCTTATACTTTCATCAGACATTTTTACAAACAAAAATGTCTTAATGACCTGTTTTCAACTTATAGTCATTCTTTGTGTGTGTGTATATATATATGTATATATGTGTGTGTATATATATCATATATACATATACATATATATACATACATATATATTTTTTAAATTGGGGTGATGCAGAAAGCCACAAAATGAGAAAAGGACACTAAGGTTTTAATAAGGGGAACAAAAAGTTGTTTTCACCAGTATAGATTCACATTACAGTACACCAATATTGACAGCATTCTCTTGTCTATTTTTGGTACAGAAGATGGTATCTCTCTACATAACTTGTAAGGCTTCAGTAACTAAAACATAAAAACAAACAAACAAAAACCCCCCAAAACAAAACAAAAACCCAGCCTATTAGTTTACAGTTTATTTTAAAAATTCTGAAAGACACTGCAAGTTCTAAACTTTTAGTAGTGCTACCCATACACAACCATCTGGTCAAGAACCCAGTAAAAGCGCCCCTTGTTGAGGAAGCTTTGCAACAGTAGAGTTGTGCAATATGGATGTTTCTTACTACAAGAAAAAAATTATACATGGCACATTCTCATTCGTATTTTGTAATGTAAAAAGTTACAAACATACCTAATCAAATAAATAATAATAAAAAAAAAAGGATTTGAATGTATTTGTTAAGTATTCTAAAACCACTACATAGAATAATGGCAACTTTCACTCACAGATTATTTACATGGTAATACCCAGTGTGGGTACACTGCTACAAAACTCAAAACAGGAGTAAACTTGAAATGTTTTCCATAATGAAGATCTAGCAGCATGACTACCTAATGCTGTTTTTATCCCGATTGCTTCTGAAACATTCCTTTTTAGTCTGTGTCTTCATCCAGTTCATAATTGTCTTTATCATAAATATCTTTTACTAGAAGAACCCGTACAAGCATATTTTCCAAGGTGTTTCGGTCCAGTGAAGTAGATGTATACCAGACAGGGCTATCTGTAGAACTAGAGCATTCTGGTTGCAAATAAAAAACATCCATTCTCTGATTAAGATTCTGTGGACTTTGGGGAAAAGAAGAGAAAAGGTCAATTTCATAAAGTTTATTAAAAAATCCCCTACTACTTTTTGTTCAAGAATAATTTAAACCCCAGAAATCACATTATTTGGTCAGATGCTCTGCCTCAATTTTCTACATTAAATATTCTGACACTACAACATTTAGTTATTTTCTGTGGTAAAAAGATTACTTACCTACCATAATATAAACTGTATTTCACTGAATTCAAGACATCATTTATTTTAATCACTTTTTAATAGTAATAATACAAATTGAAGATGAAATCAGTTTAAACATTTACCCCGTGTCAGGGATAGTGAAATGTGAAAAATGTCTTAGTATTAATGAATATGGCAACACATAAAATAAAAAACCTTATTGAGCAAAAAAATTTAAAATAAAAAAGATAAGAATTTCCACCTAATCAACAATACCACGGGAAGTTCCTGATCCTGTTGCAACTGAATGGAGCTACACTTAAACCATGGTCAGAAATACTTCTATCATTCTATAGATGATGTAAACGTTTTTATAAGTTCTTGAGAACCATCCTGGAAGATGAATTATAAAGTTATTTTTATAAGGAAGTACATTCTGAGTTCATGCCTATCTTCTGAAACCAGTGGTTTCTGAAGTATAGTACTTTCAGAACACTACTGGTCTCTGAAAAGTACTTTCAAAACTCTACCATATCCTTCAGATCTTCCTAAAGGGCTATTTTCTCTTAAATATAAGTACTTCATTTTCATCTCCAACCCCTTTTTATCATTTATTTTTTCTTTGTGGTACAGGAATGCAAGGGTACTCTGTCAGATATATAATCATCTGGCTTTCTAGCTCTAACAGCAGAACCAAGTATATGAAATAGAGATTTGAGATATTTTTTATCTGACCTTTTACCGAAAAAGTTGTGCCATTGCTTCCTTGAATTTTTTGAAGAGGACAGCAGTAATTTCCTTAGTACAGAGTAATTTCTTAACATATACGTGCTTGAATCCTAAAGTATATGATAAGCTGGGTATTTCTTAACAATGGGACTCAAAAGTTACAACTGAATGGACTTAAGTATAAGCCAGAAGAGAAAACTAAAAAAGGATCAGGGGAAAATATCACCTCTTGGTCATGTTAAATTCAACCAACTTACACTACCATCTTTAAAAAGCTACTTCTTTATTAATACTCACCTTTTAGACAAGTAGCATTCAAACATTTTCACAGGACATCTAGAAGGATTGGATGTGTTTTCAATTTGCTCAAACACTGGCTCATCATCTTCATGTTTTCTTTTTCCAGTAGTAATTTTATCTTAAAAAAATAAAATAAACCACCTAAAGCCAATCTTGAAGGAAAGACAGTACTATACACTCTTAGCAGTACTATACACTCTTAGCGTCTAGTTAAATGGGAATAGATGTCCAGCGTTCTATGTTGTAGATTCTGGTAATGCACAATTTTTCAAACAAATGGACCTGAGACGACATAAGATATCATAATTTGTCTTATTTTATGAAACGACAGTCCTTAGGTTCTCAACAAGTGACACAGGTGGGCTTTGGTAAAATAAGGTTTAAATAAACCCACCAGAGGTAATCTCAAAATAAAAAATCTGTTACACTACCTTCATTATCTGTTCCACATAAAGAAGATACTTGGTATCGAAGACATGCTTTGTTTTCCATTGTTAAAGGATTTTTTTTCCAATGCCTAAACACAGTGCCAAAGGAAAGTCTTAAGTGTTGTTCCACTGTTTTGAGGCCAAAATACTTAGTGTTAAAGTAGAACAGGGTATTCAAAAGAGCTACTGGAGAGTGTGATCCTAGTTGTTTTATCCTCCAGAGATAGTCTTCTTCAACTCGAGAGAATATTGACCCTTAAATAGAAAGAACTACTTTAAACAGAAGTATCATAAATAAAACCATGTACATTTACATTACAAATCATCCATAAATAAAGGTAATTTAAAACAAACCTATACCAAGTCTCCATTCACACCAGATCAACTGGAATGAATTTCAGAATTATCCATGTAACTCTTTAGCAACACACAAATTAGAAACATAGCAATCTATGGAACCATCAGCTCTAAAATAAGGAACTGGGTGTATGCTTCTGCCCTTTGGTAGGACAAGCAGATAGTCAGAAAATAATTTAAATATGTGAAAGGCTTGGGGAATAAAAGGTAATTTCCATATATACACATTTTCTTCACATAACAGTGGTAAAAAAAATTTACATCTCCACTGTAGAGTTTTTGACATAAACATTCAGCTTCATAAAGTAGGTCACATTCTTACAGAGCTCTTCATAAACACTACTAACCATATTCATTTCTAGTTCAACAAAAAAATGAACAGATAAACTGATGAGTAAATGCTCTAAAAATGTCATCTGATTTATTTGCTAATTACAGTTTCTATAAAAATAACAATCCCAGTATCAAGTTATGGATACCTATATTTAAAATAACATTACCATCTGGAAGTATGCTTGGTTGCCAACTTCGTAGTATTTTATTCAATTCTTGTTCAAACATCTGGTATCCTGGATCAATAAATATGTTGTCCTTTCGATTACTACCACACAAGTACTTAAAAAAATAAATAAATAAATAGAATATATTACACGTCATATTTCTTAAGAAAAAAAATTTTAAAAAGCTTTGTGTATAAGAAAAGCAAGCATATTAAAAATGAGAGATTACTGGCTTTATGTGTATACATACAAAATTATCAATTAATCTGTGGCTTAAAAGACTCAAAGCTATACACTCCAGAATCCCAAATACAAAAAAAAAAGGAATAAGAAATCTTTAGTTTATCAACCAAAACAGACTCTCTGTGTTTATTATATAATTCATGGAGAAAACTAACAATTTTAAAGCAGTAAATAGTCAAAAAACGTAAACCTTTAACATGCTACCTAAATCTCCAAAGCCCACTCTGATGTCCAGTAAACAGGCACTTTACTGATTTTTGCGGAATTAACCATTTACATCATCATTGCTATTAAAAAATAAAGCAAAATCCTGAGGTCCTATAGATAGTTTAAATTTAGAAATGTTATGTTTATTTTTAATAGAAATATTTAAAATTATCCATTTACACAGCATCATAAGTGAGTTAGTATATTTTTAAAAATTTAATAAACAGAGTTCACTCCTCTTAAAAATACACATTCCTACCGATAAAAGATTTAACATGTAAAAAAATAAAAATAAAAACCCGGAGGGAATATTTGTGAAAATGACAAGAGTTACTATCTAGAACAAATAAGAAACTCTCACAAAATGAAAAGGTTAATGAAAAGAAAATCATATTTCCTTTTCAACATTTTCTTATTACTATTGTCAGATGTGAACCAAACCAACAAAATATGAGAACAGAAAAATATGCACAATCTTCCAAAACCAGCTTCTAATTCTGTTTATGTACTTGAAGTAACATTTGATAGCACTGATTTCTGGAAAGTAGTCTAGAAATCTTTATGCTGAATTTTGAATAATTTTTTTAAACTGCTTACAAATACCACACAGTCTTTGCAAATGCATCCAAATGCAAAAATTGTATTAAATAGATTCAAACATAAAATTTACCATCTTAACCATTTTTAAGAATATAGTTCAGTAGTAAATCTTTTTTTGAAGAAACATTTATTAGTACATGAAAAACCTAAGAGAAAAGGTTGGGAGTGGGGGGTGGTTTCTGACATATCCTAAATGAAATAAGCCAGAACCAAAAAGGACAAGTGTATGGTTATACTTCTATGAAATAAACTTATAGAAACACCAAGTAGAATCGTGGTTGCCATGGGCTGACAGAGAAAGGGAGTTTTTGCTTAATGCATACAGAGTTTCTGTTTTGCCAAGATGGAAAAGTTCTAGTGAAGGATGGTAGTGATGACACAGCAAGTGAATGTACTTAATGCCACTAACCTGTACACTTAAAAATGGTTAAAATTGTAGATTTCATGTTGTACATATTTTTATCACAGTAAAAAAAAAAGTGGAAAAAGATACTAAAGATATAATTCATATCATAATCATTCATTATGCAATCCATTTATTTGGCCCTCATAGTATTTAGAGCTCTGATATTTAAAATAATCCATTCAATAAAAAGCAATATAGAGACTCAACTTCCCATCATTAAGTCAAGGAAAATATAAACACAACATACCAAAATTTGTGGGATATAGGTAAACTAATATTAGAGAGACATTTATATCTTTAAATGTTTCCTTGAAAAGAAAAAAGTTCTAGGGCTGGGGCTGGGGCACAGTTGTAGAGCACTTGCTTAGCACTTGTGAGGTTCAATCCTCAGCACCACATTAAAAAAATAAATAAAATGAAGATATAAAATATATATATATATATTTTTAAAGAAAATAGTTCTAAAAGTCCATGATCTAAGTTTCCATCTGCGGGTGGGGAGGAGGGAGGTTCACACAAATTAAGAAATTATAATAAAAAACAGACCCTCAAGAAAGAAGACAAGACAGGTATAACTGTAGCTAGAAAAGCTGCCTGAGCAAACTATAGCTCTAGCTTCACTGGGCCAAATTCCAGCAACTACCTATTTTTGTTTTTGTTTTAAAAGCTGTGAGCTAAGATTTTATAAATGTCTATAAATGATTTTATTTAAAGCAGTTGTCTAAATAGCTATATAATATCCTAGAGCTTTGCTTGTTGGTCTATAAAGTCAAAACTATTTATGATCTTTCCCTTTAAAAAAAAATTACTGGGCTGGGGTTGTGGTTCTGTTGGTAGAGTGCTTGCCTGGCACATGTGAGGCACTGGATTCGACCCTCAGCACCACATAAAAAATAAAATAAAGGCATTGTGTCCATCTACTAGACAAAAATATTTTTTAAAAAATTGCTGATTCCTGAGTTGGCCTATTCAAGAAACAAAAAGCACAAATTATCAATACTAGAAATGAAAATATGGTCACATTTTATATTTAAATATAAAACCAGCCTCAGCAACTTAGCGAGGACCTAAGCAACTTAGCAAGGCCCTGTCTCAAAATAAAAAAGGGTTGGGTATGTGGCTCAGTGGTTAAGCACCCCTAGGTTCAATCCCTGGTATTAAAAACAAACAAGCAAAAATCTACATATGGCATCATATTTAATGGTGAAAGACCAAAGACTTCCCTCTCAAGATTAGAAACAAGACAAAGGATTCAGCTCTCACCACTTCCTTTCAACAATGTTCTACAGGAGGTGGGAAAGAGGTTATCTTTAATAGTATAATAAGGCAAAAAAAAAAAAGAAAGAAAATGCATATTAGAAATAATGGCTGGGGCTATAACTCTGTTGGTAGAGTGTTTGCCTCACATACACAAGGCCATGGGTTCAATCCCCAGCAACACACACACATTAAAAAAAAAAAAGAAAGAAACAAACAAAGGGAAATAAAACCATGTTTATTCATAGACAACATGAATGGGTATATAGGAAATTCTCAGGAAAAAGAAAATCACCTACTAGAACTAATAGTAAAATGGTACAGAATACAAAATGAATATATAATAATCAACTGTATCTCTAACATGTGAGTAATGCCAGAACTTGAATAGCAAAAAGTATCTGCATGAAGAGAGAGCAACTAGATGACAAAACACAGGGCTGGGGTAGGCAGAGAAACCCCCATTTTGACCTCTGGGCTAAACCTGTAGTATTTGTTCAGAGCTGGAGGTCATTATTTCAAGCTGATCTTTGTGTTTACTGTGGGAAACAGACTCAGATTCATAGATGTGGATAGTTTACTTCAAACCCCTAAAAGATTGCCCCTTTTTACGATATATTCCCAAAGAATTAGTAATCAGGAACATATCATGAAACAGACCTTTTATACACAGACCTAAGACAATTTTTTGTACACATATAGATCAGCATGGGTCTATAGCCAGAATTATGTGAATTCACTTATTTGTAAAAGAAATAAAGTCATCATAATTATCACCTATACACTGTGGCAAATATACAACTTTGTGACCAGTGGTTAAAGATGCATCAGTTTAAGCCTATCCACACCCTATTTTTTTCATTAATTCTTTTTGGTACACAGTCCTGGAGAACTTGAAAAGTTTTAGGAATATATATATATACTGTGTTAGAATACAAACATAAAAGTAGATAGAAAAGTCCTTTATAATATCTTGGTATTTCCAAATAAAAAATTTCTTTTTCATCCTTTCCTGTGCTAGGGATCAAACTCAAGGTCTCATGCATGCTAGGCAAGTGCTATGCCCCTAAACTAAATCCCTACCTTTTTAAAAATTTTTTTAAAATTTAAGTTACCAAGACTGGCTCAGCCTCTCAAGTAGCTCACTTAAATGCTTATCTTTCTTGGTAAGCCAATAAAAAAGTTAACAGAAAACTATCCTTAACATGGCAAATGTGGACTTTAGGCTCCATTATTTCATGACTTTACATAAGACATCTCTCAATATTCTGGAAGCACATTTTCTCTCCAAAAACTACAATAACTTTCCTTATAAATGTTACATTTAAAAGGAGCCAACAAATTACTAACCTCCTGTATTCCAAGGCAGAGATAATAGATGCTGTCAGGTGCATAATTCTCTCCATTTGGTCGTCGGATCTCATTGACAAAATGAGCTAACCCATAGTTAAGCTCAGCTGTAGTATGAGACAGTAGATCTTCTTTTAACTTTACTGATTTAGCTAAAAAGAAATAAAAGTCAATAACTGTTATTAATTAAGTCTCACATAAGGCTAAGAAACTTCCTGAAAATGATTTACTCTTTAAAAAAATGCATTTTAGAATTGTTTTGAAATACTTTTTTTTTAATGAAATCAAAAGTTCAAATAGGACTTAGCAAAAATAAAATCAAACACTTACAAGATTTCAGCTCATCTAATACTAGAAGATCTTCATCAAGTTGCCTAGTTTTGACCCAGTGTTTCCAAGCATTCACACCATATGTGTATTTGAAAGGAAAGCTGCATTCTGAATTATCAGAACTATCGTCATGAGACTGGTATCCTGATACAGCTTTTCTCTTGGCTCCCTATTAGGAAGTAAAACACATGGCAAATGTGGACTTAGGCTCCATTATTTCATGACTTTACATAAGCCATCTCTCAACAAAGGCAAATTAAAAAAAAAAAAAAAACATATTTATTTGCTTTAGAATTGGCTGAAATTCCTGAATCCGACAATAGATAGAATTCCATTTCAAGAAAGGTAACTAAGAATGTCATATTTCTAAACAAATCACTTTGTACAACAAAATCAAATAAAATATCCATATGGCCAAATGATTCTAAGTATTAACTGAAGAACTTTTCAACAACTCCCCCTTATAGGGAAGGACCATTCAACTTCTTTTCACCTTTTTCCTGTTATTAGGAATTAAATCCAGGGCCTCATGCATACTAAGCAAGTGTTCTGTCACTAAGCTACATTACCAGTTCCCTCCTTTTCTTTTTCTTTCTTTTTTTTTTTTTTTAAATATTGGGGATTATACTCAGGTACACTGCCTATGAGCCACATCCCCAACCCTATTTTGTATTTTATTGAGAGACAGGGTCTCATTGAGTTGCTAAGTGCCTGGCTGTTTTGAGGCTGGCTTTGAACTCTAAATCCTTCTGCCTCAGCCTCCCAAAGCCACTGTGTGTGCCACTGCACCCAGCAACTTTTCACTTTTTGATGACAGTTTGCAATACAAAGTTCTTCATTTTACTTCAGTCCAATTTAATTTTTTGTCTTTTCTTTCTTGTACTTTTGGTATAGATGCCTGCTACAAAGTCACAAAAACTTAGACCTGTGTTTTTTTCTTCTAAGAGTTTTATATTTTTAGTTATTGTGCATGGGGTCATATAAGAGTTCACCTACACCCTAAAATAAACAACTCCTTTTTCAGTTTTTTCTCTTTTGTGGGAAATTTGTGAAAGCTATCTTTGTTACAGTGTTCTTTGATCTTGCCTTATGTTGTAAATCAGAAACTTGTTGATACGAACAATTACCATGTACATTAGTTTACATTACATGAAGAATCAAGTGTCCAGCATGTCTTTCTCTGTGTTGGCATGCTTAAAAGGGACCACATACCAAAAAAACCTGACACTCGTCCTTGTTAATTAATCTCACCAAAAGTAATAGTAAAAAAAGCAGTTCACTAGAAAATAGTCTAAATTGTTCTCAAAGAACTGAATTTACTTTGTTAAACAACTAGTTTCTATTTTGACCTTATGTCAAAATAAATTTTAAAAGAAAATCTAAATAGTCATAATATTTGCTCTTCTTATATGACATTGACAAACACCACTATTACTTAGAAATAAATTCGTTAGTCTTCAACCTAAAAAACACTCTTATCATATTCTCAAGCACACAAAATGATCACCATATCTTATGTGCCTATACAGACATTAAGTAAATGCAAGAATGATATTAAATTTTGTACCTTTTTTTTAGATCGAGGTCTGGGCTGTTCCTCGTATTCTTCTCCAAAAACAGGTGGTAATAAAAACTCATTTTCCATATCAAGCTCCTCAGCAGCTGACAATTAAATCAGAAAAACTTATTTCAAATGCAAAGCCACAGGTTTCTGTTACATAAACACAGCCAACAAAGAACCTGAGAAGGTGAACAAGCATTCACACATGGAGATAAGCAGAGTTGGGATGGGGAGTAAATGAGCTGCTGTACCTAACATGATCTGTGAGTTGTGATAAACACTGTTCAGACTCCTGAAAAACCATATATATAAAGGATATCAACAGGAATTTTCAAAAATAAGTACAAAATCAGAAAAATTATTACAACCTGAAATTCAATTATAAGATCTAAAAAGTTACAGTATAAATGTTTCAATCTATTAAATCTTCCCCAAAACAATGTTTTATACCCTACTCAATATGTTCATTAGTCATTCATACATTTAGAAAATAAATACTGAAAAATGGAATATATTTCTTTTACAAAAGACCTGAAGTAATTTTCCCCTTATAAGTGAATTTTCAAAAAGTCTTAAGTAGAATGTTATTTGTACTTTTTAAACACATAACTCTATTCTTTGCTCTATCTTCCAGACTTTCTATAATTCCAAAAAAAATTTTTTTATAAAACTCAAAGCAATCACTTTTATATCCATACAACTCAATTCTATGCATTATTTTGAAAGCTAATTGTTAAGTTTTATTTGGGTAGAAAATAAAAAAGACTGGGGATAGCATAGCTTAGTGGTAGAGGGAAATTTTAGTATCAAAAAAGAAAACATAATTATGAACAATAGGACAATGACGTGAACATTAAAAAAACAATGATTTCAACTACAGTTATAATCAGTTAATTCAATATTCAAAGTATTTTGAGTACCTCTGGGAAAATCTATCTCAATATCCAAATCTGGTTCATACGGCACATCAGGCATGTTGGACTGTGTCTCTGAGTCAGAGCTTTTAATGAGATCTGAACCAATTATATCACTTTCGATAATTACACCTGTAATTAATCCAGAATTTCATTAGAAATCAAAATAGAAAACTGCAACAGTATCTATTTAATCTGCAAAAGGGAACTCATTTAATTATAAATGCAATACAAGAATACTTAAAAGGAAAAGGCATATAACTATTTTAGCATGTAAAATACTGAAAAAACTAATTTTAACTGCATGAAAACTGTCAATGTGATAAATCTGAGCTGTCCCTTTTCAAAAGTTAATAGGTGTGCTCTGATGGTAAAATAATTCCAATATGTACTGTGAAAAATCTCATCAGAAATAAACTAATGAGGGGTAAATAACTGCAATTTTCAGCTAGGTGTGGTGGCGTACACCTGTAATGCCAGTGGCTTAGGAAACTGAGGCAGGAAATTCAAAGCCAGCCAACAAGGCCCTAAGTACTCCTCGGTTCAATCTTTGGTACAAAAAAATTAAAAAAACAAAACAAAACAAAAAAAGAAATCCTGCAATTTTCAGATACTCTTTTTGAATTCTGACCTAGAAATCTCCATCATTCAATATACGCTTATACACAACTTCTAATGTTTCAATTGCTTGAAGTTTTTGTGCTGTAATCAGTAATGCACAGAAATGTATTGTATCCTGTACATAATACAGTATGATTAATGGTGGAGGACAGAAAGATAAATAGACACATGCACACAAACTGAAAACAAAGGTTTCAAAAATCATTTACCCGCTCTATAAAGGATTCATTGATATTCACCCCCACTTTTTTTTTTTTTTTAACTGGGGACTGAACCCAGAGGCACCACTGAATTACATCCCCAGTCACTTTTACTTTTAATTTTGAGAGACTTTCACTGAATTGCTTAGGGCCTCACTAAGTTGCTGAGGCTGGCGCTGAACTTTCGATTGTCTTTCCTCAGCCTTTCAAGTTGCTGGGATTTCAGGTGTGAGCCACTGTACCTGGCTCCATGTCATTAAAAAAAAAAAAAAAAAGAATACTGCTAACAACCCACTAAATTAATCTCAACAACAACTTATCACAATGCTTCAAAAACTACTATAATTACAAAATACACTCTACATTTCGATTGTTCTCTAAGGTAAAGGGAATTAGGCATCTCATGATTCAAATAGAATGCTGGGTGTCACCAGAGGGCTAAGGATAGGAATAAACTGTGTTGTTCCAAAAGAACTACATACAATACACTCACATAGAATCATGCTTACCATGTGGCAAGCAGTGTTCTAATAGAAGGTAATCGACTTATCTTAAAATAATGCAAATTATTTTATTAAGAAGAAATTAAAACAAAATTGGGGATGAGAGTTTGTTTCATTTCAAAAGCTTACTGCAGATTAGTTTTATATCTATGCTGCTCTATTAACAATCATGAGTTGGTTCTAATAGTCAAATCCTGTTATAATTAAAACAGGGAGCATAAACCAAGTGCAATATGTCCTTTTAGCAGCTACTTGGTAGGCTGAAGCAAGAAGATTAATTAAGCCCAGGCATTTGAGCCTAAGCTGGGCAACAAAGCAAGACCCTCAACAACTCAAAAGCAAATCAAAAATAAAAACAGGAGCCAGGCCTAGTGGCACACACCTGTAATCCCCCTGGCTTGGGAGGCTGAGGCAGGAGGATGGTGAGTTCAAAGCCAGCCTCAGCAATAGTGAGGCACTAAGCAACTCAGTGAGACCCTGTCTCTAAATAAAATACAAAATAGGGCTGGGGATGTGGCTCAGTAGTTGAGTGCCCCAAGTTCAATTCCCAGTACCCACCTCTCCACCCACCGACCACCCCCCCCAAAAAAAAATCCCCAAGAGGATAAAAATTCCTGCATTGGAGATTGGGCTTGGCAGAAGAGGGTACTAAATGTAGATGGATGGTGCTAGATATAGAATGGATCTCTTAATATAAAAAACTTTCTTGTTATTTTTTCTTTACTCCCATATCAAGTTGAAGTACAGTAAGACACCAAAACCCATGAACCACATATTGACATATTGTAGCTCACTATTGATGTTGGATGCCTCTGTTTTCTCCTCATCTTCATTCATCATATCTGTCATTGTAAGCAACTCAGTATCAAGAGGATCTGAAGAAACTTTGCTTTTTAGCTCCTCAACTGCAGCTGGAATTTTCTCAGTGCTATCCAATGGAGCAGGCAGAAAAACAGGAACGGGCACCTAATTAACCAAAGCATTTAATGTTAACGTTATGAAACATTAAAAGGATCTCCCCTGCCCCCACATTCACTTTGCTACATCATCCATTTTACAATGTCATACTGAATAAAAGCTTTGCAAAAAACACATGTCAAAACTAAGATGTTACTGTAACAGGAAAGCCCAGAATATAAGCATTTACTTTTTGAAATAAAATTTTGGAGAAAATAATTTTTTAGATATTTCTGTCTCCCAGGGGACAGCCAAACTCGTCTGACCAGTGTTTTAAGTATTAAAAGTAATGTGAGGTGAAATATAATATTATTTTATATGAAACTGATGTTCCAGTTTTAAACTTTATGGCTTCACAAATATTCCTTTTGAAAATGAACCCAAATATAAAACATAAATGCACAGAGCAGACAGAGACATTTGCTAAACATAAACATCTCTCTCATGGATGAGTATACATAGATTAAACAAAAAGTAAGATCACCACAAAGATTCAACCAAATCTAATTGTTGAAGAAAGGTAAACATAGTTTAACAGCTTCATTAAGCTAATAATTCCAACTACAATACTTTCCCATCCATGCCTGATGAAATCTCAAAAAAAAAAAAAAAAAAAAGAGCTTAAAATCTGACTTACAGGAACAGGAACTGTAGTAGGAACAGGAATATTCTGGCTGTACATGTGCATAGGTACTGGGATATACACAGGCACGGGAATAGGCACTGGAACGTATTCTGTCTTCCAATTATCATCTAAAAACAATGCACATATGTAAAAAAACAATATTAACTAGGACTTAATCACAGCTGCTCAATGTTAAACTAATTAGACAAAGAAAATTTTAACTATCATCCATTTAAAAGAAATTCCTAGTTTTTATAAGATTGCTTAAAAACAACAAAACAGAAAACAGAAACCATTTTTAGCTTAGAAAAAAAAGAGAAACTATTTTGTTTCATATTTGGTTAAAGAAAGAAAAAAAAAAAAACTTTAAAAGCAATATAAATCCAGGTACTCTACTAGCCTGTCCCTGCTGTCCCCACCAATTAAACAATTAAAATATAGACTACATAGTAAATTTGATGAAAAAATATATTTTTGATTATTTCATTTCTTTCTGACGGGAAAGAAAGTTATCATTATAGACCATAAAGAGATAACTTCTCAGAAGTAACAACACAATTTTAGCAATCCAAGAAAATTTGTTGTGGTATTTTTTCACTTTTGACATTGTATCAGATTGGTTAGTCATAAATTATTTTAAATGATGCTACATTCAAAGTAATATTCAAAATTAGGTAAGCAAAAATCAAAATAAAACAATGAAATGACCCAAGATTTTCTCTGTAGCCTATCATTTCGGGGCAGGGGGACATCATTCAAGTGAGTTTTGAAGTATAAGGAAGCATATAGGTCAAAATTTAAGTTACCTGTCTGACAAGATTTGGTCTGCATGTGAGGCTTACAGTAAGTAGCTTTTGTCATTGTTAAAGGTTTGCAAAGAACTGCTTTGTTCTTCATCTCTTTGTTTGGTGTTGGAGAAGGGGGTGGTGCTGAACCCTAAATAGAAGCAAAGAGAAACATTTCACTTTTTCCTCTATTTTTCATTACTCCTGAGTTAATGAATATCTGATTTCTACATCCAAAGATGGAACACACAAAAGTCAAGGGAGACAATGAAATTATACTATTCATACTAAGTTCACAAGTTTTAATCTGGGAAGATCAATGCGAATCTAACCTAACAACTGATAAAGTTGTAGGAATTATTAATTCTGTAGGTCTCACTTTCAAATGATATCATCAGCAAGCTTTTAGGAAAATATGAGACGACAACACTATTTGAGGTGCAAAATCATAGCTGAAACCTATACTGTGAAAATAATTAGATTCTTCAATATATGTTAATAAACGTTCTTACAGTTATAATGGCTGATATTCTAGCTCCTTCTAATTACACAAAACCTTAATATGATACTAAATTTGAAATGTAAGAAAAACAATGCAAAGAATTACCACAGGAATTGTCAAACTTTAAGTTGTATATTTCCCAAGAACTGCAACGTTAGAAACTACATCTAAAGATCTACCCATAGGGACTAATGGTAAAGTATTCTTCATACCACCTATATTAAGGAGGGAAAGTAAGTACAGAATACTAATGCAGCCAATCCTAATTATTCAGGGTACTTATGTTCTATATAGTTGCCCTGAATGCTGAATTGGTGAATATTAAACTGCTGCTACAAAGAGTAATGCAAGGTTACCAAAGCATATTTTCATCAACTATTCAATACTTAACCTTGCTTAAAGACACTTTAATATGGACTAAGGCATTATCCAACAATAAAATTTTGAATGCAAAGTTTTCACCGTAAGACAGTGTTCAATTTCTAGAGTGAAGCACTTGTGGAACAAATCCCAAAATACTTCAGACACCATCCATGCCTTTTCATCCTACCTTCTATGGTAGGACATACAACTCAGGTTTTCCTCTTGAAGTGTTTTTAACCTCTGTATGTCATTGGGGGTTTGTACTTAAAAGTTGTTCTTGGCATTGGTGCACAATGGCAAAGTTGTACAAAACTGAATTATTTAAAGCCAAGGGTTTTGAAGACTATTTTCAGGTTTGTTTGCCAACAACCTTGTAAAAAAACAAGCCAGTCTCATTAGTATTGAAAACTAGTTCTCCCACATAACCCTTATACTGTATAACATTTAGATAGTAGATGTAGTGTACTGATCCGCAGAACCCACCTCATCTTCAAGTTCAATTCTTAACATGCTTCAAACTGAAAAGCTCACGAAGTTGCAACAATGTTATTTGCTATGCTTTTTGTAATGGGTCATTATCTCATATATCCACAAATTTTGTTGCAGTAGGTGTTACTTCAGCTTTTGGAGTGATCGGCAAATTTGTTCTTCCTTTCTCTGGTTGTACTGTTGATTCATTAATACTGAATTCATATCAATTGCATTCTAACTTATGCCTGAATGAGACTTATTATCTAATACACATATTTTCTCCATAACGGACATTACAGCTTTCTTGTATTCAGGGATACTTGATAGCACTTCCACATCATACTTGTGGGCGCTGGGAAATAGCAAAATTACAAACAAAAAGCACCAAAAAAAAATAAAGCACTAATTAAATTGTAAAAAGGACATTTGTGCACAACATGAGAGCTGAAATGGGAAGGCACAGCATTGTCTTGATTTATCTCAACTGGAATACATGTATCAGGTGACTTAAAAATTTTTCTGCAGATGATTCTCAAAGGACACTACATATTAATTTAGGATTACAAGAAAATTCTGCAAAATAGAGAAATTCACAAATACAGAACCACAAATAATGAAGATTGATCATACTTAAAATTTTTTATCTGTGACTTCTTCCAGCCCTCCCACGAAGGTCTTTGTTACTGCGGACTGAACCCAAGGGTGCTTAACCACTGAGCCCTTTTTATTTTTTTGAGACAGAGTCTCACTTAAGCTGCTTGCTTAGGGCCTTGCTAAGTTGTTGAGTTTGGCCTCAAACTCGTGATCCTCCTGAGTCACTGGAATTACAGGCATATACCATCATGCCCCACTGTGAGGGTTTTGGTGTTTTGTTTTTTTTTTTAAGGTATGGAAGGATGTGAACCGTTTATATAGCAGGTAGCCTATTAGTTACAAATTAGTTACAAATAATATATATGACCAAGGAGGCTGGCACAAAGATGAACTTATGCCAGATTTATCAAATGTACTAATCAGGTCTAAGAGAGTTCTGCACAAGGAGCTAGTGAACTTGGTGCTAACACTACTGCTGTGGAGACCTGGGGCAAGTCAACCTCCTGTGCCTTGAGCTCTTTGATTTTATACTTGAGAGGAAAAACTTACCAAAAGTATTTACTATATACCAGGCACTGGGTAAACTTTTTCTAACTGAAATAACAGGGAAGTCCCAAATCACAAATGTCCTAGAACTGCTTAATGTTCCACCCTTACCATTCTGCAAATATTACTTCATATCAATGAACTATGCTACCTGATGAAAAAACATAGACTCCAACCTCTCTGTTTTAGAATATATTTTGCTTTACTGCTTGTCAACAAGTGGGTATCTATAGCTACTTATGCTGAATATGGAAGGATCCAAACTAATGATAATTATAATGACAAAATCTACCATCTGTTGAGTACCTGTTATGTGTCAGGAACTATGTAAAACAGCAAAATCTTATTTCATCATTTTAAACACTGCAAGAGGCAGGTCTCTATCACTACCATTTTAAAGATGAGGAAATAGGGGGTTAGGAGTTACATAATCTGTCAAGGGTCACAAAGTTAAAAAGTTCTGAAATTAGAAATCGGATAGATTCATCTGATGTGAAAGCCGATGTTATTAACCACCATACATACTACTACTATGAGGTCTATAACAAAACAGCCACAATGTTCAGTATTAGTATGTGACAAACCTGACGTGGGTACAATTTTCATCTTGATCTTACAAATAAGGAAACATACAACAGTAAAATAACTGGCCGCAAAATTATCTACCTACACTTTGAGGCATATGGGTGCATATTCCAAAGGTTTACAAAGGAAAAATGGAAGGGCACTTAATAATACAAATGCAATAGTCACAATGGCACCCTGACTTTCCTTCCTCTTCAAAAATGCACCCCCCATCTCTGTCATATAATGCAATTTAAATGCTGTGGGCAGAGAATGATGTTTAACATAGTGCTGGAAGAAATCATTTCTTGGAACCTTGGTCAAAACCTTGCACCTCTGAAACACGGTTAAAGAAGTGCCTAATTGGCTGACTGCACAAAGATAAAAAATAAAAGCTGAGCAAGGTAATCCTAGCAAATGAGGTAGGCTAAAGCAGGAGGATCACATGAAAGTTCAAGGCCAGCCTTGGCAACTCAGTGAAACTGCCTCAAAATAAAAAGGGCTAGGAATGTAGCTCAGTGGTAGAGTACTTGCCTAGCATATGCAAGGCCTTGGGTTCAACCAGCAGGACCATTTAAAAAAGGAGGTGGGGGAGAGGAAAAATAATTTTTATATTCTTTATCAAGGGTGAAAATACCTGGTGTTAACACCAGATAATTCAACTGAATACTTTTAAGTTTTTCTGATTCTCTGACTTAAAAATGTTATTTCCACAAGGAGTAGAAAGGGGAAAGCAAAGAGAAAAAAGCACCCTTGCTTTTCTAGGACTACATCCAGTTATTAATATCAAAACAAACACTGAACAGAATGAATGTAAAAACACTGATCTTTCATCTATAGTCATCCTTTAGTATGGTGGAGGGGGCTGATTTCAAATTCCTTATATAAATATAAACTGCTATATTTGTCTAAAACCTAACACATCCTCCCACGTACTTTAAATCATCAAGATGACTTATAATATCAAATACAGTGTAAATGTTATATAAATAATTGTTATACTATTTTGTTTGGGGAATAAGGGAAGGGAAAAAAATGTTTGTGCATGTTCAACACAGACACAACCAGCATATGTCTAACTATACAGTGCAAGACAACAGGTAAACAACACTGGAGTACTAGAGAGAGACAAAGTATCTAGGAAATGACAGGAGGCTATAGCACGGTGTGCTACAACATCATTTCACTCATGTGAATTCAGCAGAATGTCTGGCATATGGCAATTTTGTTTCTTGAAACTTTCTGGAATTCTCCATTATTTTCAATCCTAGTTTGATTGAATCTGCAGATAGGGAACCCAAGGATATAGAAGGTCCATTGTGTATGGTGATTCTCAATCTCTGCTTACATATTGAATCACCTGAACAACTTTTCTAAAATAAGAATTTCTGGGTTGGAAACAAGATATTAGAAGTCCTTGAAAACCTACTAGGTGATTCTTACTATAGCCAGGAACTAAAAACTAAAACCACTCACTCAACTAGTCTTTTTTACCACAACAAGCACTAGCCCAGAGACTAACTGTGATGCCAATTAGTGATGAAGGGCTTCCCTTTGAATAAAGATGCTAGAAATTCCAGTAAACAAAGCATAAAGAGACAGTGCCTCTGTTCTTCAAAGTGTGGCAAAAGCATTACTTTTGCTCTTTAGCAGTCAATACATACAAAAGGCCACTTTCAATTACAAAACTCACGGTAATACCAGAGCAGAATTTGATGCAATACCAAAAAGGGAGAAGGAAAAAAAAAAAAAAAGACTAAATACAAGATAAAGTGGGGAGGAGGAATAAAAAGACACATGGTATATTTCTCAAATTTTAAAACTCACAGATCCTAACACCAACATAGATCATCAGATCTCTACTTTAAAAATACATTATCTGGTTCAGTCTATCCTTTCAGTCTCACTTTCCATCATTCAATCAAACATCCCCTTCCAAGGTTGACCCCAATGTATAGTTCTGTCAAATACATGTGTGCTGTGCACATTACTATTCCTCCTACTTTTCATACTATCTACCTGAGAATCTCCTATCCATCTGTTTGCAGTCAGCTTATTCATTCTTTGGGAACCATCATCTCACGCATATATTATAAGAACTTCAACCCAAATGCCATTGATATGTCTATCTTCCTCATATGGCAAGAGGCTGGAATTAATTCCACTTCTGTTTCCTAGTATATATGAAAGTCTCTGGTATCAGCTGAATACTTCCAAAGTCTCAACAAAGGAAATAAGAATAGCTTATTATTATAATCACATTACATTGCCCTAATTATTTTTCCCTAACATTATAATGTCACAAACTGAACACTCTATTTAAGCAATACTTACGGTCATTTTGGTTCTGGATGTCTGACAGCCCTGATCTAAAAAATAAACAAACACACAAAAAAACTTTAAAAAGACAAATATCACTTTAGAATTGAAGATGTTACTGAAGAAAATATTTAAAATTAGTTTAAGAATTTAAAATTTAAGTAGAAAGTATAGAAATACAGATTTACTAAGTAGTTAACTCTTTTCTCATTTTTCCACCTCTGAATATAACTGCTTTGGGGAAAATCCTGTTTGTAGATGTAGTTCTTAAATAAAATAAAAAGTAATAGCTTCTAGAGGGATTTTGTTCCATTCAGCCTACCCCAGGCACATATAATTTGATAAACCTGTTTTCATTTAAAGTTACAAAATGCCACGTGGTTGATAGGTGATTTTTTAAAATTTTTGTTATAATTTTATTCAGCTTCTCTCTGGTCCAACTAGGCCCTATTTTTTTCAACTAGCAAGAAATAAACTGTATCTATTAAAATATCACATGGGGTTCCTCCTTCTAGAGAAACCATGGAATTTAAGTTGCTATTAAGCCATCTCCAAAATCAACTATTCATTATCAGTGCTTTAGATTCATTCAACACTAAGAAAATAAACTGATACCAGGATTTTAAAGTTCCCACCTAAATTACTACATACCATAATGTAAGTTTTCAGGTCCTTTCTGAGTTGTCATGTTGGGCTCATTTTGTTGACAATAAAAACGTAACAAGCAGTGTTGATCACAAAAGTGTTTCATTTCCCCACGCCACTGCACTCGCTCTTTAAGAGTTCCTTGAGATTTACAACAGTCACACCTTGCAGCCTTAATTTAAAAAGAAATTACTTCAGATGTTTCGAATCAGAATATTTAAAATACCACACATATAAATTTATCAATGATTATTGTCAAATGTGACAAAATAATATCTGATAAAGAAAAAATATCAAGTCATACCAACAATAAAATTCTCTCTCACACACACACACACACAAAAAAAAAAAAAAAAAAAAAAGGAAAAATTTGAAGTCATTCTCTAACTGATAGTAAAGTCCCTACATATACCATAAGTCAAGACTAGGATTACAAAGATGGATAACATACCAAATTAATACAATCCATTTCATTATTTTTAAATAATTTAGAGGGCCTTAATAATAGATTAGTAAATACTCCTATAATTATATTAATTTGAAATTTTCTAATTAGTTAACAGATTTCCTAGCTTATTTGTATAAGACCAGAGTAATTTTGAAGTAAGCTCTTCTGATGGGAAAATTAAAAATATTAACTTTAAGTATTTTAGTTTTTTAAGTTTAATGAAAATGTAAAAAGTTAACATACTGATTTAATATTAATAACAAGATCTTTATTTTAAAAAACAACTAAATAGTTATCTTTAAACACCCAGCCTGATCTACATCTAGCAATCAGCCCCACATGGTTCACAGTTTAACATAAAAGGCAGGGGAGGAGGACACTGAAATTCATACACAATTACACTTTATAATGCCGAGTCCAATAATCTAGGGACAGATATTTTTACTTTTATTTTATAAATTTCTCTCTAGATTTTGTCCATGTTCATACTTAACAAATATCTTCGTCAATAAATGGACCAAAAGATAAAAGTAATTAATTTCAAATATGGTTCTTTTCATAATTGTTTCTGATCTAGAAATAAACTACTATAAATTTTAAAACTGATCTCCAGTTTAACTAATAACTAAGAAGTTGATAGAGCAACAAATATGAAATATTCTGTAATTCCTAATAATTGTGGCTGTGGCTTTTCATGATTGCTTTAAATAATCTAGAGTTTTATGCTGTGGGTTTTGAAATCTCTTTGTTTCAGATGAAGTTCTAAAATAAATATTTTATTAAAATTCCTAGTCAGGAGGGTTATGGATGTAGGGTCAATGGTAAAGGACTTGTTTAGTATATGTGAGGCACCTAGCTATAAAATAAATAAATACAAACCCCTGTGCTGCTAAATAAACACATATATACAACATACTAAATATTGGAGAGAAAGGTACATTTGTGTACATAAAACTAAGTTTAAGACCCTCAAAGAAACATTTTATTGCACAAATACTACCTACAATAAGAACAAACCACTGGTTTAGACACTTACACAAATGAAAGTGACACAATGTTTGTGACTTTGTCCTCTCTCTATTTCTAAAATTTGAACCTGAACTTTAAGAATTCATTCATTCAGAAGCAGGAGTAAAATAACGAAGTAATTTTTTTAAAAAATACACCAAAATTCTCAATCATTTTCTCTGACAAGTTATCTTCCTTTTTATTCATAAAATATCAGTTAATTTGGTTTTAGATATTCAATCATTTTAACACTAATCAACTTTCATAATGTGAACTAAATAGCAATTTTATTGTTTGTTTCTGTAGAGATATCTATCACAATTTTGAAGTCATGGTATCTATCATCACATGCAGCTGCACATGGAGCTTTAGCATTGATATGACTTTCCATGTTATCAACACAGGAAAATTAATAATTTTTTCTTGGTTAATATCTAACCACCCAAGTCCAAATTTATATTCATTTTCTTATATACACACATACACACAAACAAACAAACAAAAAAACAAGAAAAAACTAATATAGTGGGCCAAAGGGGACTTAAAGTCTGACTTTTTAAAAGTAGATTCACACAAATTACAGTAAATAATTTTTAATACCAAAGAAAAAAGTTGATTTTCATAACACACATACACAAGAGTTGGGGAATATGATGCTAAATGAAGTTAGCCAATCCCCAAAAACCAAATGCCGAATGTTTTTTCTGATATCAGGAGGCTGATTCATAGTGGGGTTGGGAGAAGGAGCATGGGAGGATTAGAGAAACTCTAGATAGTGCAAAGGGGTGGGAAGGAAAGAGAGGGGGCAAAGGGGTAGGAAAGATGATGGAATGAGATAGACATCATTAGCCTAACTACAAGTATGAAGACACGAATGGTGTGAATATACTTTGTATACACCCAGATATGAAAAAATGTGCTCTATATGTGTAATATGAACTGTAATGCATTCTGTCATATATATCAAATTTTGGTTGTGGCTCAGTGTTAGGGCACTTGCTTAGCATGGATGAGGCACTGGGTTCGATCCTGAAGACTACATAAAAATAAAGTCACAGTGTCCATCTATAACTAAAGTGTGTGTGTGTGTGTGTGTGTGTGTGTGTGTGTGTGTGAGTGATTTATTTATTTATTTATTTATAATGCTATAGCAAGTTATAAAGAACTGAAATGCAAAATAATGTTTTGTTTTGTTTGGCAGGGAAGAGTACTAGGTATTCAACCCAGAGGTGCTTAACCTCTGAGCCATATCCCCCCCAATATGAGACAGGATCTCGCGGAGTTGCTTAGGGCCTCGATAAATTACTGAAGCTGCCTTTGAATTTACAATCCTCCTGCCTCAGCCTCCTAAAATGCTGGATTACAGGCGTGCACCACCACACCCGGCTGAAATGCAAAATAATTTTAATGAAAAGTATCCAGGACTGGGCCTAAAATTTGTAGATTTTAAAAATAAATGTTACTATATTTATAACTACAATATTTATTAAGGTAGTTTGTTAAAAAACTGGGCAAAGTCTGAATTTATTGCCAAAGTAATAAAAATCTAGATTTACTTGCCTTATAGTACCAATCCTGAAATTTTTTACAGCAGTCTTCACTGCAGAAATCTCTCACAACACCATCAAGTTCTTTAGTTGCTCCCTTCTTACACAGCTGAGAACAATAGTTGCAGGTAACACACCTTAATCCTAAACGCCTTGCAAAATCCTGTTTGTATAATAGTTTGCAGCCTGAAAAATATAAGTTTTAAATATTAAAACAAAAAACACATGAAAAGTAGATCATTAGTTTTAGGAAGTGTCTAATAAATTCACATATAAGTCCTTTCTCTCCCAATCAAAACTCTAAAATCTATCAACACCAACCTGTAAAAACTGGAATAGAATATGGAATATTCTATTATTATAATATTCTATTATTCAAAAACATTTAATGTGTTGGTTCAAACAATACTTTAAGATATTAAAATCTAGTAATATCTCAGAACTATTTTTAAAAATTTTTTTTAGTTGTTGATGGATCTTTATTTTATTCATTTATTTTTATGTGGTGCTGAGAATTGAACCAGTGCCTCACACATTCGAAGCAAGTGCTCTATCACTGAGCCACAACCCCAGCCCGGAACTATTTTTATTTGCTCCATTAAATAGAATCTAAGTATCAGAGAAAGCAAAACACAAACAAGCATTTTAGAGAAATGAATAATGCGGAGTGCTAACAGGCTCCAAGTAAATTTACAGACATGTTCAACTAGTTAGGTAAGCATTTTAGTCAAATTTTCTAGCTTACCTGTTACCCTACATCAATCCTTCCAAGAAGTACAAATGGTTTACTGACTTGTCCAGAGAAAATCCTATTATCTATTCTCTTAATGAAATAACTTCTTTTACTTAATGCATAAAAGTATTAAGAATTTTCACAAATCTAATAATTGCCCTATAATATCTGAGGATTAAATGATCTTCCATACTTGTATTCATGACTGTGCTACGTAAGTAGAATGACTTTTTATTCATTTATGTATCTAATGAAATCCTACCCATCCTATAACAACAAGCACAAAGGATACCTCCACAACAAATTGTTCTCAACTTAGTTTTAAATTATCTTTCCTATTTGTGAACATGAATCGCAATTTTTTTTTTTGTTTTTTGTCTTTGGGTTTTCTTGTTTGGATTTGGTTTTTTGTCTCTTGTTTTTTATTTTAGGTACTGGGGATTGAACCCAGAGGCATTTAACAACTGAGCCTCATCCACCCCCCACCCCCGCTTTTTTGGATAGGGTCTCACTAAATTCCTCAGAAGCTTGCCAAGTTTCTGAAGCTGGCTTCACCATCCTCCTGCCTCAGCCTCCCAAACTGCTGGGATTGCAGGTGTGCGTCACCACACCTGGCATGAATTATAATTTTTTATGTAATAAATTTTCAATCATTAATGTATTAAGACTTTTCTGTTATTTTTGAATTACTTCGAAGTACTTTTAAAAATTTACCTTCATTTACTTTATCTACTTAGATTTTGGTGGTAATACTAGTTATGTTACTTCTGAGGTTTCAGCAGAAAACTAGGTGGAGTAAGAGAAAGCAAAAAATGGCATTTCACAGGGGGAAAAAACACATCCTTTTTAACTTCTTATTACCCATCTAAAATCTTAAGTCCTTCCAATAGAAAATTATGCTCTTACATGTCAATCATCAGTCTGCTATTCTCTAATAATTTTAGTAAAATACATATGGAATATAAGTTCATTGACGTATGTGAACAATTAGCATCAATGTGTTCAGACCTGTGAACCAGGAAGACTGTTATTGCACAAAACTTAGGTGTAAAAAGAAAAATTTAGAATTATTCTTAATATTTTAGGATTTATCATTTTTCATTATACCTTTATTCTTAAAGAGTAGTAAAACATGGTTGCCTTTAATTCTAGGTGAAATGTACCAATTAAACCTAAATAGAATGCCTTATTTTATATATAGTACCTTCTTACAAACATAAAATATTTAGATGTGAAAAGTATATATAATTGGTGCCACTAGTTGAATGGCCTCATAAATCTTACTGACTTTTGATTCCCTACTGCTAGCATCAAGAATTTTCCAACCTTTCTCTTGCCCCAAACTAGTAATAGAAATCCATAGAATAAGTAGATCTAGAAAAAAAAAAAATCATCACTGGAAAACAATAGGTGAAGATAGAAGATAGGAAAGCTAAAAGCTCAGTGACTTGAGCCAAAGACAGAATAAAAAGTGAAAGCCAGCTTAGAATAAGAATGTGACATTTGAAAAATATATGACAAGAGCACAAAAAACCCACAGCTACAATCCTGGTTCATATCTCTGGAAAGGCAGGTTTAGAGTTCATTTCTATACTCTGCTGCCTGGCACCAGAGCAGCAAAAAGTAAAGAAGAGAAGAAAGGAAATTCTTGAATATGCCTATAACAGAACCCAGAATATCTCCCAGGCAACCCAAATTAAAAACTTAAAATTTCCCCACTGTAATGCTGTTCCTGTAAAAATGTGGATTTTTTTCTCTCAGATTAAGTGTTCCTTATCTGAAATACATAAGGACCAATTGGGTTTCAGGTTTTAGAGTTTGTTTGTTTTACTATTCTCAGATTTTACTGAGCTTCTCTAATACAAAAATCCAAAATCTGAACTACTCCAAAATCCAAAATTTTAGGAGCATCATGTTGACACTTAAAAAGTTTTGAATTTCAGATTTTCAGATTAGGGATGTTCAACCTATATATTGAAAACCTTTGAAGGCTAGGCAGTTTAAAAAAAAAAAAAAAAAAAAGCCAGGTAGGCACATGAAGCTAATGAACAACTGTTCTAATTCACTTAGAAAACAAACTTTCAGGCCACAATGTATAGGTTCAGAGATGGCATGGTATCATAATGCTTATATTTGATTCTCAAAACTTCCTTGTAATGAAAAAGTGGTTACCAACATTTTAGAGAGAAAACCTTGAGGCCCAGAGGTCTAAAATACATATAGAATATAACAAAATAAGTAAAAAAGTAAATTCAATTTTTTTTGTTCAGCTATATTAAAAATTGTGCAGCTGGACATAGGTACTCATATATTTTTAAAAATACTTTGGCAAAAAAAACATTAAATATCAATAAAGTTATGAACAACACTGTATATACACTTGCCTTCACTACAGAAAGGTCTCTTAACGCCAGAGAAATTTACTGTTTCATGAAGAGTCTTCTCCTCTTGACAGTATTCGCAATATGTAACTATGCAATGCAACTTCTTATAGTCATCTGAACAAGTTTTGCTGCAGAACTGATGCACTTTGTTCTAAATGCACAATGGGAACCTTGGTGAGTATATGACAACCACCTCAATAACAAATTTCAGAAATAAACAAGCTACTTTTATAGAAACAAAGTTAAATCATTTACCTATTTTAATATAGTATCCTTGGGTATACATTTCCTATAGGCCACAGACACCTAGTTTAACCAATTCACTGCTAAATATAAAACAGCTCTACAAAATTCAACACCATTAATCACACTGAAACAGTGAAAGTATCACTATAATAAGATGGCAATCTGATATTTCTAACAGAATTTGATAAACAGGAAGGAAACAATAGAACATGAGTAAGTTACAGAAAGATGAGAATTATGGTACTGATAACATTTTCAGTCAAAGAGATTTGTTTTTGAGTAGATTCAATCACCTTTCTGTCACACCATGATACATTCCTGTAACAGATCTATCACAGCCAAAGTATTCAATTTGGTGCTATCCCATTGTATGCTGTGAAACTCGAGACTGAGTTGGTTTTTCCTTGATTAGAATACGGTTTACTAATTATTATTTATCCTGGCCCCAAACCCAAAATAGCCAAAGCTACTTTTTAAATACCCAGTCAGGTAGTTATAAACAACTGAAAGCTTCCCAGAGGCAGGTTTTTTTTCCCTCCCATTATTAGTGGAGGATACAGGTTACATCTAAAACATCTACCTAAGAAATCTGAAGATCAAAATAAGCAAGGTGAAAGAGCCTAGGTATAAACTCAAAATAGTTAAAATAATCATCCATGGAAAGTTGCACCCCACCTCCCACCAAAAACAAGTTGCCCCATTATAAATATGTAACTCATAAGAGGAAAAAGGCAACAAAGAAACCACAACTGCCAACATGGAATAAGTAGCAGCAAGGGGCACTGAACTCTCAACATCCTGAAGGACAAGACAAGCTCTCCTTCAGCCTGCTTTCAACACTTGCATCCATGTAAATAAAAGCAACACACCAAGATTCCAAGAGTTGGGGAGCACTAACAGGTACATGGTGGGAAGGACCTCATTTTCACCTAGTATTAACAAATTAGATCTAAGATCTTCATGTCCTACCTGACAATATTTTATGTGTGTACTAATTGCTTTCCTCATTCCCTCATTCCTTTATTCTCTCTTCTTGGGTCTTCAACACTTTTTCTGCTATTACTTAAAGAGGGTATTAATGCTAAAAATCATCACTGGATGCCAACAACAGTCTCAAAAAACCAACTGATTTAAATGCTCTGGAGGAGCACCAAATAAAATAATAAACTAAAAAAATTTCTAGGCACTGAAGTGATGAAATTCAGATTTCCAACTACTTTAGAAATCACAAAGTTCAGTTTTGGGTACCACTTTTCACCTAAGACTTCAGATACTGAGTGACCTGCCAACAATTACTAGTAAATTTTTCCTCAAGGCAATCTGTTGTTAGTTCTAAATCTTGTGCACCGTTTTATTACCACCTTCCACCCCATACTGTCCTCGAAAGAATGAAAAGAAAGGAAGACCAAAGGTAAGCTTTGCTCAAGAAACCAATGGGCAATCACAGCAGCTTTGTCCATTTATCCATCTCCTATTGCCCCTTATGGAAATAAAAATCATTCTCGGAGGTGCTAATGGCAAAAGGACACAGGCAAAGTTAAATTAAGTACACGGATAAAGGTACCAATGATAAGGAAGGGAAAATAAAGTTAATGTTAAGACCCATACTCCTCTATTCTTTTATGGAAACAATTCATACAACATTAAATGACAATATGGTATGACTAACAAATCCTTATTTTTATAGGTACTGAATACCAGAATGTATTATAGCTCTGAGTTAATATTTATGAGACCAAGGAGAAAAATAGAAAGAATTGTCATACAAGTTGCTCTAGGTAAGCAACTAAACAAAGGAGAATTCTGTACTCTCTTATGGGCATAATATATTGCAAAGATGACTTCAAATATTTTTGCTTAACCCATAAAGAAATAGCTTAGGTTGATTCTACTCCCACATAAGTACATAAGCCAATCATCACAAAATCTGAAAAACATGCCTACTAAGAAATAGGTCTTCTTATGAAAATACTAGTTATTTTACTTAATTCTCATTTTAGCACTAGATAATATACATAACAAAATGTGACTTGCCTCCCATTCCAGGATTTCTGGTTTTGAACAAAAGGAATTTTTACAGTAGTTGCATTTCAACTGAATATCACTTGGTGCTACAAATTGGCCATTTGGAGATGACTGCATGCTTAGAGCCTAAAATAAAAAATAAAATAGACTGAGCCTGGTATGGAGAATTACTACTTATGATTACTATGAAAAATCTAATGTGCATAGAAAGTCATATATATCTGTTAAATATTGTTGCAGCACACAAAACTATATTTCTGAATTTTGTTTTTTTTTCTGCTGTAACAGACTTTATTAATATATTCTGAAAATCTACATTTTTACTGTTTATTAGAAAGTTATACAAAGATAAGAACTTATATTACATCTAAACCACTTTGTTTTGGACACATTAACATCATTTCCACTTTTGTTTTTAAAAATTATGCTAACACACTGTTTTATATAATTGAAATTTATTCTTTTTATAACCAAAGGATTACTATTTACCTAAAATTTTAAAATATAGACAAGAAAGTACAATTCAATTATGGTTTATCTTCACTTGAAAATGTAAACAATAATATTGAGGTTAACTGCTCAAGTTCTGAACTAGCAAATAAAAGTAAGAAGAAAGAAAGAAACCAAAAAGCCACAAAATTTTAAAAAAAAAAAAGGTCTTGTTTTCTCCAAATATCTAATGTACTAATGATCTGTCTCACTGCATCACTGCCTTAATTTTCATTGCAAGTCCATCAGTGATGTTACAGCCTATGTTACTATTCACACTAGGAATTTATTTATTTTAGCTTTTTTACTTAAAAGAAAAAAATTTTTAGTTGTAGATGGGACACAATCCACTTATTTATTTATTATTTATTTATTTTAAATGTGGTGCTGAGGATTGAAAACAGTGTTCCATGTGTGCTAGGAAACACTTTACCACTGAAGCTACAACCCCAGCCCCTTATTTTTCTTACAGTTAAAATAACTTACAGATTAAGATAGGACACAAGCATAGATGTTTTTAAACATTATTTTCTAATTCTTAATCTGAGTGGTAATTAAACTGGTATATAATTAACATTCTTTTGAGCCACATCACATATTACACATACATATTATATATAATCTGAAGGTACAGTGGAGGGAAAGATCTTTTTCATTTTTAAACATCTGTATGCACTACAACACAATTAAAGTCTGTAGAAAAAAAATACAACATGGCAGATTTAAGACATTAGTATCAGGTGAATACTAAAAGTAAAATGAAAAAAAAAATTATCCTTAGAGGTACCAAAAGAATTGAACCTCCTCAAGGTTAACTATTCTTTTAAAACAAACTCAGATATTGAAATCCTAACTTTCAGTGTGACGGAATTAAGAGGTCTTTGGGCCATCCTATTGATTTTCTTAGTGCCTTTAAAAATCATCTAATAAAGGAGCTTGTTTATGCCTTCAACCACATGAAGACATATGAGAAGACACCCCACTGAGAAAAGGGACTTCACAAGACAAAAATCTACCACAGCACTATCTTGGAATTCCCAGCCTCCAAAGCTGTGAGAAATAAATTTCTGTTGTTTATGACCTATGCATATTTTGTGATGTTATATATATATATGTATTAAAATAATAAAATATTATATTTTGTTATAGCAGCCAAAGAATACTAAACTGTTCTCTTTCAAAAGGAAAAACACCTAATAAAGACACAAAGTTCAAATACATGGTTTGCTTTCAAGATTAAAAAAAAAAAAAAATGTTGCCTTTCTGTTTAACAACTTTTTATTATTCATATGCCAACAGCAATAAGGCTGTATATAGAATTATCTGAACGCAATCTTCAAAATTAAGGGCCTAAATTCAGTATTTCTTTAAAATATACAGAGTACAAAGACAGGGTTATATCAAATCATATAGTTTCAATTAAAAAAAATTAGTTAAAACATTTTCAATTACCAGTTCAGTTTACCCAACATCAAAAAGACAGTTTAACATCTGACAAGCAGCATGCACACTGTCCTTTTCTCCTTGAATTAACCATTATTCCTTAATTTCTAGTTAAGAAAAGCTAAGCAAAAAAAAAAAAAAAAAAAAAAAAAAATTACTAAAAGAACTTACCAAATGGCCATTATCTCAACTTCTAAAATAAAAGTTTAGTCTTGAATGTGACTTATCATCTTAATTTAGTGAGTATATAACTTAACAAAAACATTCACTTGGCTGAATTCAAAACAACCTAAAATTAAATGAGTTTATAACTGTTGCAGTAACTATTGTAACATACTTAAGTGACTATATTTTCAGGTTAATAAACATAGAGCACAGTACCTGGAATAAAGTAGAATGTTGGATGAATTAACTCATGAAGCATGGCTTTATGCACTGGTTTGAATCTTTGGGCAATACCCTGAAATTTTCACATACAACAGGTAAACCTACTAGTACTACCTAACTAATGCGTGAATCCCCTCTAAACTATGCCTTTCTTTCTAGTGGTCAACCAGTTTAAATCAACACTATCTCCTGAGATTATCCGTATTCCAACTCTGAAGAACTATGTCAGAAAGTACATTATATTTACCAACACAAAATATGGCTCCCTGAAATTGATCCTATATTTCATTTCCAAGCTAAATAAACCTACATACTTCACTCATCACAGAACAGAGTTCCCCTTCAGATTCACATTTTATTCAAACCATCTAATAGGAAAATACTGTAGATGGAGCAATGAGTTAACTATATTAAAATTTATTTTCCTTTAAAATTTCTATTATCGTAACAATTCAAAAGTCAATCACATTCTTGTGGGTGAAAGAAACTGGTAAAGCCAAGTCTTCTATGACTCATTCTAGAATATTCACCCTCCCATTTGATCCTGAAAAAATCTATATAAAAATTAACAGATAACAAGGATAAAAGAATATTGCACTGATTATTTTCTATGCGTATTTAATTGGGGTTGGGGGTTATGCAAAATAAATAACAAACCTGAAACTTAGCCACACAACTGGAATTGCAAAAGTTATACAGTTTTCCATCAGGCATTGTGGCTTGGTATTGAGGTAAAGAGTTTCGCTTACAAAAATGGCAAATAATTCCCAAACCTAGGAAAGAAAAGGTACATATCTGATTTCTTTATAAAGTAATAATATCTGATTTCTTTATAAATAAAAGTTTTTTTTTAACTTACAAATGACATTTAAAATCTTAAAAATAGAATCTCCTATAAACTATTTCTTTTATATTTGTGCCTTAAATATTCAAGATTTTTTTTTAAATACTGTCATAAAAAAGACTGGTATTATCTCTCAAACATACACATATACATCAAAATTTTTTGTTTTAGATAATTTTTGGATGGAACAACAATTTTAGCTAAGACAGATATGCAGAGTACTTCAATACACTGGAATGATCAAATAATTACAAGTTTGCAGTAAATGGTATGATAATAAATTTAAGTTCAAAATAGCAGTTTAAAAACAAGTATAAAATCAAAATTATACAGCAGTTACTTTTTGAGGAAAAAAAATTAAAGTTCTTTAACTTTTCAAATACCTGAAACTTACTTTGTGATTTTGCATATTTTGTCTTGTGACTATTCATGCAAGCAGTTGAACAATATGGCTCCATATATCCATTAGGACCTATACACTGAGTCATATCAAAAAACCTGCACTGAGTCCGGCAACCAGTACAAGTTGTCAGTTTTCCATATTTCTAAAATGTAAAACATAAAAAGTCATTTTGTTTTAAAACCACATATGAACTAAGAAAAACATAGTCCTATTTCTCATTACATCTTTCATCTCTATAAAACACTTTTGTTAATTTTTTATCAGTTTTAGAGTCAGAAGACTTCATCTGGATTCAAAGAATTAGCTGCAACAATTGCTATATTAGGTTCAAACCAAGAATGGTTGTTAGGTAACTGTTCTTCAAAAATGTTTTCACTAACTTAATTTAACAGAATCCCTACATACAGATAAATAAAAACTGAAAATCTAGAAAAGCAGGGTTGTTTTTTTTTTAATGCTTCTTTTATTATTTGACAGAAGAAATTAAAGACTTAATAATCAAAAGTACTTCAAAGCAAGAATTTGAAAACTTTTAAATCCTTTTTCCACTGAGCAACTATGGTCCCAAGTTTTGTTTTTTGGGTTTTTTTTTTTTTTTTTGGGGGGGGGACGGACCGTAGCTTAAAAAATGATTAAGCAGCCAGGCACACTGGCACATGCCTGTAATCCCAATGGTTTAGGAGGCTGAGACAGGAAGAGGATCCAGAGTTCAAAGCAATTTAGTGAGGCCCTGAGAACTTATCATTAAATAAAATATAAAAAAGGGCTGGAGATGTGGCTCAGTGGTTACACACTTCTGGTTTCAATCTCCAGTGTGCACACACACACAAACACACAAAAGATTATAATCATTTATGTACATGTAAAAAACTCATAGGTCATGGTAACATATAAAAAAAATTTAAATGAAAAAGTTTAACATTCAAAATGATTTCTTATTATTAACTAAAGTCAATATAATCGATTAGTAGATTAAACACTATAATACTTTTGGCATGGAGAATTGATTGACAGTGAAGTAACTTGGAAGAAATGAGATAGAGTAGGAATGTAAGACCAAAGAGGATACTTCAAAAATTACCAGGACAGGGGCTGGGATTGTAGCTCAGTGGTAGAGCGCTTGCCTAACATGTGTGAGGCACTGTGTTCAATCCACAGCACCACATAAAAATAAAGGTATTGTGTCCATCTACAACTAAAAAATATATATTTACATTTAAAAATTTACCAGGACAAAAGAAAATACATATAGTTTTACAAATATACAATTCAGATAAACTGGTATGTCTATATTTTAAAAAAAAATTTCACAATCACAATTAAAAATCAACTATGGAGCTGGGCATGGTGACACACATCTAGTTTAGTTAGGAAACTGAGGCAGCAGGATTGCAAGTTTGAAGCCAGCCTCACAAACTTAATAAGAAAATCTCAAAATAAGAAATAAGAGACCCAGTATTAAAAAAAAAAAAAAAAGAAATGAATCAAAGCAAACATGAAAAGCAAATTTTTAATCCATTTTGTCCATCATCCCAGATGTGGAACACCTATAGAAATTGAGCAACAAATACACCACTTATATATATGTGAAACTCTAAAATAATGTTTTTACAGTTCTAGTCTCTTAAAAAAGTGAATGATTTGATTATTTGAAACTATTTTTAAATTCATTGTGAAAATGCTTAAACATTACTGAAAAAGTTACTTCTAATGTTGAAATGAACAAAATATTATGTACACAGCTCATATAATATAAAAATGTATTCATGAAAGTATTTTCTAAAACGATGTTATCATTTTATTTCAAGGAATGCATATATTTAAAATTATCATGGGGCTGGGACTGTGGCTCAGAGGGAAGGTGCTCGCCTTGCATGCATGAGGCACTGGGTTTGATCCTCAGCACCACATAAAGATAAAATAAAGATATTGTGTCCACCTCATAACTAAAAAAATAAATATTAAAAAAATTTTAAAAAATAAAATTATCAATGCTCCAAAACAGCTGTTCTATAAATAGGAGACTGGGACAATGTATACTGCACAGTTATGTGTGATATACTGCACTACTGCCTGACAAACTATGTGTTCCTACTTGTGGTTATTTGTGCTTTCATACATAAATTACCCTCCATAAGAAACTACTGGTCAATTGATGAAGATTTCGGTATATCTTTCATTAAAAATGCAGTGTCAAGGGGCTGGGATTATGGCTCAGCGGTACAGTGATCATCTAGCATGTGCGAGGCCCTGGGTTCGATCCTCAGCACCACATAAAAATAAATAAACTCACTACTTCTAAAAAATAAATATTTAAAAACTTTTTTAAAAAAGTCCAGAAATCATTTAAAGAAGATGAAAAGATCATATACTTTTCAACAATAATGAATGGCAAGAGAACACTGAAGATAATGGTCTTAAAATTCATCTTCTAATAAATATGATTTAAAAGTCATGCATGAGGTCTGGAGATATAACTCAGCAATAGAGCATCTTCCTAGTATGTACAAGGCCCTGGGTTCAATCCCCAGTACCAAAAAAAAAAGAGTCATGCATGAAAGTAACTATTTTGAAGTATGTCTGACAGTGGATAAAATGATGTCAGATATTCCAAACACAATTCACTCAAACAATTTATAGGAGGTAAGTCCATAAGATTTGGTTATAATTTCTAAACACTGCAGTTATTGAGATATTGCTATAACATTAACTTGTACTGTGAAAAAGTGCTCAAAAAAGACCCAACAATGATCTTTGCTTGGAAGTAAGAGTGTTCTGCAAATGCTTGAAGTGGTAGAGAATTCACAAGCATACTGTTGTTGTTGTTGTTTTTTCCAACAATCTACTTAATGGTTGTAACTTATTGGTACTGCACTGAAATATCAGATTCTAAGCAATAGGTACTATGAGGGAAAACAGACTAAAGCGTCCTCTGAAAACAACACCAATGATGAAAAAGAGGATCATATGATTACAGATTCAATACAAATACTGAAATTTTGTAAAATGATTAGATAATAAATGTATCATTGTTGAAATGGACTACAATATAATAGAACCTCTTGGCAAAGTTCAACGATGCAAGAAAGAAAGTAGAGCCAATGTGCCTCAATCAAAGGTAGTAAGCACCTATAATGAGTTCATTGGTGGTATGGACAGACACAATTGGTTGGTTTCCAAATATTCCACATCCATTAGAGGTTAAAAAAGGGTACTGGATTTTGTTCATTCAAATAATTGACATGTGTACCACAAATGCATAGATTATTCACACATTTGTGAACAAAGACAAGAGAGATCTCGTAAATTTGCTGAATTTCAAATGAGAAATCTGCTCAGCATACCTAAAATGACACAATGAGAAACTGCAAGGACGAAGAAAGCGTAATACACCCAGACCTACTATCAGATTTGACATGAGAAGTCATATTATGGCAAAAACAACAACATGAAAACAAGTTATATCATGAGAAACTGACCATATATTGTCAAAAATGATACAACCCTTTGTTTGAAGTGTTCGAACCTTTCCACCAAAAATAATTGCTAAACAGGTCATAAAAGTCACTTATTTGTATCTTGTGTAATGTAGAAAAGGATGGCACATTTGCCCAATGTCCTATTTTATAGGTTGGCTTGTATCTATAAAAGACATTGTATTATCTTTCTGTCCCTAACTAAAGGACTATCCATATTTTGTTCTTAATTATAATAAAGGATATATAAGTTCTAGATTATAATTCCAACCAATTTTATGACACTGCATCAATTTCATTGAAATATTTGCAAAATTGAGAATTTGGGATTTAATGGGTTGCATACAACTTGTACTGATCCCCTTTCTGAGCGTTCACAGAGAAGTCTGTCATAATCAAGTGACATATCACAAACTGTGATAAAGACATCTATCTCCCCCACCTAATGTTGAGATTATTTAACTCAATTTTTTTTTTATCAAGAAATGTCTTAGGGAGGGTGGGGGGGTGGCTCAGTGGTAGAGTGCTTGCCTGCATGTGTGAGGCCCTGGGTTCAATCCTCAGCACCACATATAAATAAACAAATAAAGTAAAAAAATCTATTGACAACTAAAAAATATTTTTAAAAAAGAATGTATTGTATGAGGATACAAGAAGGCCTCGAAATGTTCCATGCACTGATGAATAAGATGCCACACCAACAGAAAAATCAAGCCAGATATAACACATAAAATCAATTAACTTCAAGAAAATTTTCACAAATACTATGGGATTTCAGAAAACAAAGGTAATGAATTCCAAGTGGGGACAAAAAATTAGGGCTGGAGGTATAGCTCAGTGATAGAATGCTTACCAAGCATGAGTTTGTGGATTTCGGCCCCCAGAAGCCACCAAAAACAAATAAACAAAAAGCCCCCACAAGCAACTTCCATCAATATAAAGAATAATTTTCTTAGTATGCATAAATAGAACACGTATGAGAAGATAGTTGCTTACATGGCAGTAATGTCCTTATACACTTAAATATCACCTAGAGAAGACGTGAGTTTTACTTTCCAAAATGGAAATTAACTCATTCTTCAATCTCTAAGCCTCAAAAAGAAACTTATTAACAGCAAAGAAATAGTAACAAAGAACAAATAAGAATGGCTATATAGACTGGGGTTGTAGCTCAGTGGCAGAGCACTTGCCTAACATATGAGGCACTAGGTTCAATCACATAAAAATAAATGTTTTTTTTTTCTTTTAAAAACAATCTAGTGTTAAAAAAAAATGGCTACAAAGATATCTAATTAAGATTCTATCAACAATACAAGGACATTAGAGAAAAATGCTTTGTTTACTTCCTGAAGTCTATTTGATGACTTAAATATTTATGTTAGGCAAAGAACAAAAGAAAACAGATGGATACAATAATGGAAGAAATTTATTTAAACCTGAAACCACTGTACAAATTAAAAATACTAAAAATTAAAAACCAGGACACTTAAAAATATGTTAAAGATTGTATTGAGAAAATTAAACCAGCTCCCCCTAGACAGATATGCATGTGAGGCTTCCACATATCAGCACCTATGAAGAATCCTTTAACCAATACAAATGAAGCCCAACTATCAAATCTTAGCTTTGATGACTTTTTTTTAAGCAAAGTAGACAGTCATCACTGGATTTGTGATCCTGACACTGATTTTATTAGCAGAATTATTAATAATAGCTTTAACACATCAAGTATACAAGGAACTAAGCAACTGTTCCATGTTGACAAACAGTACTTTCTTATTCTCTTCAGAATAACACATAGAATGGATAAACTCAGAAAGATAAAATTGTTAGTATTAAGATTTCAACTCGGGCGCTGGGGATGTGGCTCAGCGGTAGCGCGCTCGCCTGGCATGCGTGCGGCCCGGGTTCGATCCTCAGCACCATATACCAATAAAGATGTTGTGTCTGCCGAGAACTAAAAAAAGTATAAATATTAAAAAATTTTAAAAAAAAAAGATTTCAACTCTTGTCACTTTTTTTCCAACACTTGTCACTAGTTACCATTGTTCCAAAGACAAAAGGATCCTTGATGAGAGAACACTGGCACAAAAGGATATAAACTTTCATGCCATGTTTGCTTGGCTTCAATGTGAACAATCAAAGTAATCTATGTCTTGCAGATAACAGAAACATTCATTATTTGATACAGCTCAAGTTCATAAATTTTAATATACTTCAAATGGCACATGATTTTTTTCATACATATTAAAGATATTAGCAGTGCTTGAAAATATGCTTAATGTGAGCCTTAAACCCCCATCTGCTTACCTCAGGCTGCATTAAGAAAGAATCCTGCATGTGATCACGAACCTCCTTCAGGAAGCTTGGATGGCTACCTACCTAAAAAGAGATTTTAAAAGGCTTTACAAATACATATAAAGACTGCTAGACTAGATGGTAAATGAGCAATTTATAAAAGTTTCTTCTCAATTGTGACTTACAATCTCATTCCAACTCTAAAAAATGTGTATCGGTCTTATCCCCAAAGTGGCTATCCAACTTACAAGAATTATCAAATAATTTAATTCCTAGAAAAACTGATAATAAGAATATAATAATGGAGTAAGAAATTAAATATAAACACTTGAATTTGACACCTCCAATTGAGAAATATTTCTCTTAAATGGCTTAAGTGTATTCCAAGATCTTTTTTAAAACATGCTAACTTATAATGAAATCTCAGTTTTCTAAAGTAAGTAACCTGGAGATTACAATTTTCATCATTTGCAAAATGGGTTGTTTGGGAAAACCTCTTTAAAACACATATGACAACTTCTAATACATAATGCAAATTTAAATCCTTATTCTTATAGAAAATAAAGAAGAATACAGGTTCCCTGCTTTCCATGAAAGCTAAAACACTATGGTAGAAGAGGGAAACTACTAAAAGCAAGTCATAAGTCTTATACAGTTTCCATTTCCAGGTTCTACATTAATAATTAAATATATCAGAATATTTCAGAAACCAACTGAACAATGAAGACATAAATAAACAACAAAGGCAGCCAAATTAAATGCTAGAGACAAAGGTCAAAGATGGAAAATAAGACAAGATTATCATGTAATTTCAGTTTGCAGGCTGTAGGAAAAGAAAATTCACTGGTGCTTCTCATGGAGTGGTCTCCCAACCTGTCAAATTGGGTTCCTTTATAAGTAAAAATGTATGCAGACTCCTATTTATATATGAATTATGAACATATAACATATGATGATAAAATATATGCAAACAATATTCTAAAGAATAAAAGATGGAATTCTATTTTTAAATAATTTTTATTTTAATTAATGATGGAGATAGGGGTTATAGTTAGGTAGTAGAGCATATACTTAGCATGCACAAGGCCCAGGGATCAATTTCTAGCACCAAAATGATAATGATGATGATGATGATGATGATGAAGAAGAAGAAGAAGAGGAAGACAGTATAGAATTTTTCTGTACCTACTAGAATAATTTGGTAATCACTGGAAGCCAGAACTCCTACACCCACTTAAAAATAATAAGAAGCTACCCAATCTTCCATGGGTATTAACAAGATCAAGCAGAGAGGTTTGACTTTACCTCTGGCAAAAAATTAGTGGCCTTTCTTCTCTTGCTGGAACTTTGTCAACAAAAGGTTTAAATAAAGATACAGAGCCCCCCAAAAGAAAACCCAAAATGTTCCAAGTTTTAATCAAAACTCACTTATACCCAAAACTAGAAAACCACAATGTAAATTTAAAAATACAATAGACACCAACACCAAAAGTACACTGATTTTAGAAAGATTTTAAAGCAGTCGTCATAAAATCTATCAATAACCAAAACACACACACTTGAAAACAAATAAAATAACAGAAAATGTCAGCAAATAGAGAATATAAAGAAGAATAGTTAACAAATTGTGAACTGGAAAACAGAATAAAAGAAATAATCCCATTTGCACAATAGAGGAGAAAAAACTGGGTAGGGGAGGAGGAGGGGGGAGGAGAGGAAAACAGGAGGAAGAAACTGAAGGGGCAGGAAAAAAGAGGACAGGACTAGAAAAATCTACAAAAGAAAATATCTCAAACTAGGCAAAAGACATAAATACACAGATAGAAGAAGCCAAGCAAACTAGAAGTGATAAACACAAAGAACACCAAGATATATCATAAATTGCTGAAAACCAAAGACAAAGAGAACATTTTGAAACCAGCAAAAGAAATAACACACCTATAGAAAAAATATAATTGGAATGGCAGCCTAGAAAAATGGAAAACATGGACAATAGCCCCTCTACTCTAGCCAAATACCATAGACTTTAGCCCTACCCACACAATAAAAGGCCAAGTAGAGAACCTAGATTTCCATCCTGTCCTGGTTGCAATGAGGTGCTTCACCCTGGGGCCCTAGCCATGGTGAAGTTAAAGCAGACCAAGTATGAAGTATGATCTTCAACTCCAATAATAAGATACATTACCACCGCCAACCCCCTATTCCAACCCTAAACCCTGATAAAAAGGCCTGTCCTGGTAGAAAGTAAAAATTCACCAAAAACTAGAGTAAAAAGGTCAAAACTGAAATTATAGAGACTGAGCAGAAAAAAAAAGAAACAAATCAACCAACCCATGGGGCCCATGGGACAAGATCAGGCAGACCAGCATGAACATTATGAGAGTTCCAAAAGGAGAAGAGAAAGGGTCAGAAAGATCAAACTGTTGAAAGAGAATCTTTACAGAAGCAAGAAAGAAGTGACTCAGCACAAGGAATCCTCAAGAGAACCACAATTTCACAAAAGAAGCCACAGAGGGCCAAAGGCAAGGGGATGCCAGATTTAAAATGCTGGAAGGAAAAAACGCTTTCAAACAAGCCAAACTGCAGGAGAAATAAAGACATACCCAAGTAAAAATTAAGAAGGGCTGTTACTACTAGACTACTAATGAGAACTGGTAAAGGAGATCATTTTTTTAATTAAAATGAAAGACACATGAATCATCACTAGTAAATATTTGGGCATATACAAAATTTAGCACTATCATATTTTTGGATTATAAGTCCACTCTTTATTTTCTACATGATTTTAAAGACACATACACAAATACAATACTCCTCCAAGATAACCACAAAGGAAATCCCTAAAATAATAGGTGGAAGAAAAGGAGAAAGCAATCAAAACAATCCACTACAATCAACTACACACAAAATAATGGAGGAAATGAATTATAAAAAAGGTATATGACACACAAAAAAACAAATTTTGAAATGGTAGAAATAAATCATTCCTTGTCACCAATACTCCAATCAAAAGGTAGAGATTATAAAAAAATCAAATGCTGAATGTTTTCTCTGATATAAGGATGCTGATTCATAATGGGTTGGGGAGGAGCATGGGAGGATTAGATGGACTCTAGATGGAGCAAAGGAAAAGGAGGGGAAGGGACAGGCCATGAGGGTAGAAAAGACAGTGGAATGAGATGGACATCATTACCCTAAGTACATGTATGAAAACATGAATGGTGTGACTCTACTTTGCATACAAACAGATATATGAAAAATTAGAATTTTTTTTTAAATGACCAAACAGTTAAAAAAAAAAAAAAGTAGAGATTTGGGGACTGGGATTTTGGTCAGTGGTAGGGCACTTACCTAGCATGTATGAGGCACTGAGTTCGATCCTCAGCACCACATATATATAAATAAATAAAATAAAGGGCTATCAACAACTAAAAAGGGGGGGTAGAAATTGGTAAACAGGGAAAAAATTATCTAATTATATGTTTATATGTTTACAAGAGATTTACTTTACATCCACAGACACAAATAGGTCAAAACTGAAAAGACAGAAAGATATTCCACACAAATAGTAAGTAAACAACAGATGGAGTTCTTAAACTAATATCAGGCAAAAAGAGCCTTTATTTTCAAAACTCATACAAGAAACAAAGAAAAATATGTCAGCACTCCATACCAGATTCAACCAACCACAGATCAAAAGTCATACTGGACATGTTTAGACTTTTTTCCTTGTTATCATCCCTAAATTCTGTAATAACATCTCTGTACATACCATTTACATTGTATTAGGTATTACAATTAATCTATAGATGATATGAAGAATGGGTGAATAGGTTCCACGCAAATACTATACAATTTTATATAAGAAACTTGTATAAAAACCAAGGGATGATTGTATACACCAATAAAAGGGTCAATTTACTAAGATGTAACAATTATAAACATATGCACTATCAAAGCTTCAAGAGAGCTGGGAGTGGTGGCTACTCAAGAGACTAAGGCAGGAGGATTGCCAAATTCAAGGCCAGCCTCAGCAATTTAGCAAGATGCTGTCTCAAAATTTAAAAATAAATTAAACTAAAGGGCTGGGGATATAACTCAGTGATAAAGTGCCCCTGGGTTCAATTCCCAGCACCAAACCAAAAACAAACCAAAAAAACCTATGTTTTAAAAAAAGCATCAGAATTCACTAAGTAAACACTGACAGAAGGGAGGAACAGACAGTAACTGAGGGTAAAAACAGATAATTTTACAACAATAATTGGAAACGTCAATACTTGATTTTCAATAATTTTTCAAGAACCTTTTACATAGAATTGCAATAAATAAAGACCAGGCTTGAACACCACATAAACCAACTAGAGCTAACAAAGCAAAGTGTGGTACTCTACCCAACAAATGGAAGAATAAATATTCTTGCCAAGTTCACAGGAAACATTCTCCAGGATATATTACATTTTAGGTCACAAATCTCAGTATATTTTTGAGACAAAAATCACACAGTATCTTTCTAATCATGAAAATGGAAGCTATCGTTACACTCAAGGGTAAAATAGAAAGCTTTTCCTCTGAGATCAAGAATAACAGAAAGATATACACTTTCTCTACTTCTATTCTACACAGTCCTGAAAGTTCTAACCAGCACAATTGGGTAAGAAAAAGAAATAAAAGGCATCCTAAGTAGAAAGAAGGTAAACACTATTTCTGTTCATAGATAACATTAGTAGGCAGAGAAAATCCCAAGAATCTACAATAAAGTTACAAGACCTAATAAGTAAATTCAGTAAAGCTGCAGAATACAAAGATCACTGCATAATAATCAGTAGTGTTTCTATACCCTGGCACTACTATTTATTTATTTATGGCAGTACTGGGGATTGAACACAGAACCTCATACATGCTAGGCAAGCACTCAACCACTGAACTACATGCCCACTCCGGTTTCCATACTCCACCAAAGTACAATCTAAAAAGGAAATTAAAAGAGCAAGTCAATTAACAGAATTAACAAATAAATATCTAGGGATAATTATAAAGAAAAGTAAAGACTTATACACTTTAAAAGGTTTTTTAAAGATTGCTAA